TTGAAATCGATTGATTTGGACGACATGATTTCGCGACTCCTAGACGCTGGTTATTCTAGCAAGGTTACCAAAACAGTCTGCCTGAAGAACGCGGAGATTACCGCCATCTGTACCGCTGCTCGCGAGCTCTTCCTGTCACAGCCTGCTCTGCTGGAGCTGTCAGCCCCCGTCAAGATTGTTGGCGACGTTCACGGCCAATATACTGACCTTATTCGACTCTTCGAGATGTGTGGATTCCCTCCCGCTTCTAACTACCTTTTCCTGGGTGACTACGTCGACCGAGGCAAGCAGAGTCTGGAGACGATCCTTCTGCTGATGTGCTATAAGCTGAAGTACCCTGAGAACTTCTTCCTACTTCGAGGAAACCATGAGTGTGCCAACGTTACCCGTGTTTATGGGTTCTATGATGAGTGTAAGCGTCGTTGTAACATCAAGGTCTGGAAGACCTTCATCGATACTTTCAATTGTCTCCCTATTGCTGCGACTGTGGCCGGCAAAATCTTCTGTGTCCATGGTGGCCTCTCTCCTAGTCTTTCGCATATGGATGACATTCGCGGCATCGCCCGTCCCACTGACGTGCCGGACTATGGTCTATTGAACGATCTCCTGTGGAGTGACCCAGCAGACATGGAGGAAGATTGGGAACCTAACGAGCGTGGTGTTAGCTACTGCTTCGGAAAGAAGGTTATCATGGACTTTTTGCAGCGTCATGACTTCGACCTGGTTTGCCGTGCTCACATGGTAGTTGAAGATGGGTATGAGTTCTACCAGGATCGTATTCTGGTGACAGTGTTTTCTGCACCCAACGTAAGTTGCCTTCTTTTGTGTTTCACATCGACTCATACTGATCTTTTCATAGTATTGCGGCGAGTTCGATAACTGGGGCGCTATCATGTCAGTCTCCGGCGAACTTCTTTGCAGCTTCGAACTTCTCAAACCTTTGGACTCGACCGCCCTGAAGAACCACATTAAGAAGGGCCGAAACAAGCGCAACAGCATGTTGAATAGTCCTGTAAGGAACCCCCTCTTGGATTCTCCCCCATGTGATCGTTGCTGCATCGTGCAACACTGCCGATCTTTCTGCTTCCAAATTATGCACATACTGCACCCCGTATCTTCTTGAACAAATCGCTAACCAATTCCAGCCTGCGGCGGTATCGGCGCAAAGTTATTAGGCCCCACCGATTGTTCTACATTTGAAATTGATATCATTTTCTGCGATCCGTCATTGCTGTCGTGGTCTCGATTACTTTCACAGTCATTGACCGGCAATGAACACGACTTTCACCAAACTAGCAGCGTGGTAGCCTATCCCTTGTTTGATAATGGCTGATCACTGAAAACGCTCTGCCACCACGGCTCGCACCAATTTCCGGACCCAATCTCCCCGGTATGGATGCCCAAAATAAGGCTTGGCGCAGAACTGAACCGGATTCCTCTGACCGGTCCGCATATCGGGGCCTGCTAAGGCACCGTAGCATGCGTAGACCCGCAGATCCCAAATTTGCAGTCAATGGAAAGACATGCTTGAAAAAAGGCACGTGGAATCTCTATAGGCCACTCTATTGTCGCCTATCTCGGTTCCAGCTCACAATGCAGACGCGCCCAGACCCACGGCATTTTTCTTCGGCCCCTAAGAATCACAGCTATGTATCTCTACATGGCTTGGGTTATCAGGCCTCTTGTTTCTGGTGTGGCATTCTCCTGCATGTACTTACAATATCTCTACTCTTTTATCCCAAACAAATGGTATTACTTGGGCATCATTTTACTTTCTTCCTTGTTTCTATATATCTAGGACCCTGGACTGTCCTATTATATCTTAAAACGCGTAGCATCTTAGTTTCTCTGGGGTATTTCTCAGACCGTTGTAACGTTTCTTACATTGTCTAGCGAAGCTGTGTAGTTGGCTAGACTCTTTGGGTGAATCGAACCCACACCGCTACATACTAAATGCCCTCGTAACTTGACCAAAAGCCAGCTAAACAGACCGGAATGGTTTGCTGGTTCCCAGAAAGAACTCTCTACAACTAACGCTGACCAGTTGCATGTCTAGGCCTCAATCAGGACCACCTCCCGACAAGCCTCGGCAGCTCACCCGCCTTGTATCGAACACCTTATGCATATGCAGTGCCATTCGCAAACGTTGGGCTTGATTCAAACTCGTAGATAATGAAATATTTACTAATGATATCTAGTAACTTAGGCAAGTGTGTCGACATGCTCAACATCGAGTAATATGGCAGAGCTCTAGTAATTGCTTTTTCATGACTAACCCTATTTCAAGACAGACCAGTCATGAAGATCAGACAAACAACAACCGGGATAGGTGCCTCAATCAAGTTTCCTTCCGACCATTCCCCTCCAGCTGGCGCAGCCCACCAGCCGAACTCGCAACAGATTGAACCTGAACCCTAACCCTCGCCGCAAAAGGATTGGGATCCGTATTCTGATCCAAATTTCCCAAAGCATGGTTGACATCACGATGTTTCGCCTCATCAGCACGAACATACAGCAATAGTGAATGCATACAGCGTTGTCCCTCCGGCATCTGCCAATACTTAATTGCCATCTCGGGAGCCTGCAAGTCCTCCCATCCAGGCAGATACCCATTCTCGAGGTCAAGGATTGCCTTTGAGTATGTAATCACAGCTTCTTCTTCTAGATATCCCACAAAGCGATGACAGATCTGCGGCGAGATCAGATATGCGAGGGAGAATCCGCTGAAGAATACCCACTGCGCGCCCAGGACCATGAATCGCATTGTTGGGCCTGGCTCGGCGAGCTTGAGGAATGTTAGGAGGTGCATTCGTTCGTTGTAGGCTTCTTCGAGGAGGGTTTCTATCCTTTATTGGGTGGGATGTTAGATGTCTTTCCCATGTAGAAAGAGGAGGATAGTTGGTATTCACTCACCATCCGTTGTCTCTCCTCATTCGCCGGATGCTTTTGAGATGTCGGAGCATCCCTGCTACCATTCCTGGAACGCCGGCTACGCTTTCGAGGAAGACGAATCTCGTGATCCATTTCTCCTCGGTCATAAGGTGGGATTTAGAGTGCGCTTTTGTGTTTGTTGGTCGTGTGTGATATCCGGAGACAACATCCATACCCCAGCGCAAGAGGCGCACGGTTCCGAGTGCTGCTCTATCTTGCCAGGTGTGTGCTTTGCGGTGCGCGGTTCGGACGGCGAGGATCTGTTCTTTTGTGTATCTGGGAGAAAGGTGATATATGTCAGATCCAAATATTTTTTGTTGTAAGGGATAGGGAAGGAAAGGTTTCCAATGAGGCGCTTTAATTGAACATACACCGGATGGGTCCATGATGACTTTTGGCCAACTTGGGTGCTTGTTGTATGATTTCTCCTAGTCGGCATCAAGACAGAGAGCCTGGTATACCTGCTTGGCTGGGTATATGATATAGTGCCTGTCCTGAACATTGCGTTGTGCTGAAGACGGGTGTGCACAAGAGAAAAACGAGGTATACTTGTTTGGAGCTTCATGACCAACAAATAAAAAGGTAGAACGAGATATATATACAAGCCAGCTGCAATGTTTTGATTTTGGAATTGAGTAGTCAAAGTCCGACAGCATTGTCCGTCTTTTATGCTATAGATGTTCTGTTTCCTACAATGCAGAACACAGACTATGACTCAACCAACAACAATTGTTGAGGATCTTGTGTTCTGCAATATACAGTGTATGATAGGTAATAGCTTCATCAGCTCCGCGAGATCAAATTAAAGATGGCTATGCAAGGAGAAGATCGCGTCTTGTTGAACCCTAATCTCCCGATTTCATCCGACACAGAGAAGACCTCGGGTGAAGAAGCTCTAGATGCTTTTTCGTGACTCATTGCAAGTTAAATGTTGACGAAGAGACAATTATATAGCATAGACTAATGAATTTGTATAAAAAGGGGTTGTGGACTAGTGATCTTGAGTTTTGTAGTGCGCGTACGTAGGCTGCCATCGGATTATTTTAGACTCAAAGTGGTTAGAAATCGAAGATCAGGGATATTGAAGAAGAAAATAAGAGTTGTATATATGTATCTATATAATATATATTCTGGGAATGAATGGATCTTTCTGGTAAGTGTAATAGTTGAACACTGGCTACCTTCAGTATGGCTAATTAGGGACGGTTGGAAACATGTCTTCGTCGTTTGTCTTTTGGCCATATAAAAAAATCCACATTAGAAGAAATGAAGTGTATACGATGACTCGAACATTTTTATTTATCAGAAGGAAAAATTCGCACTTGGTATGATGATCTATTTGGTTATTATGCTAGAGTCTGACTGGAAATGAGATTTAAGAAATGCTCGAACAACACCAGTCATGACCAAGTACTTTGCCGCGGTTTGTTAAAGAAAATATTGCAATTTAGTGGTACTCTAGGCTCTATTCTATATTTTCTATCTTGTATATCTCGCGTGGTAGTATTTCTCGATGAGATATAGCATAGTTCCAAAACGGATTTGATGAAGATTGACATAAACCTTCCTGTTATGCCTGAAAAATATCAATAACCCACCCACGTAATAACATGAAACTATCTGTTAACAATGACAACGCACACTTCAGTCTATCTTTGTGTCAGTTGATAAAGACCCAAATAGGCGCTGTCGGTAGGCATACCGTTGATGACATAGACGAGTAACCCCGCCACCGGCGAGTCTCCCGTGCAGACATTCTACGAACCGAATTATCTGGATCACCAATAGGACCAGTCCTTCGAATAGGCTCTCCGGGTTGTATTACTGTTTGCGGAGATACTGACCAGCACGAGGGACCATCACCCCGCATGGTGGGTTTCATCATTTATCAAAGGCACCGGGCGCCTGCCCGAGACGGTATCTGGTTCTATTCGAGGGGGAACAACAATGAAGGATAAAGAAGCTGGTTCCTTCGCCTAATTCCATATGATCAGAAGTCGGAATTCATAACATCATCCAAAAGAAATGGGTCCTGTATTTCCCGGGAAGCCTCTAACGGCTCTTGCGCGATGCACTCGGCCAACGAGCAATGTGAATACATCAATTTCACTACGCTTTACCTCAACACTACAAGCACACGCACACGCACAAACACAAGTGAAGACTGCTCCAAGCCCCACACTACCACCGCTCTCTGCTTTACCGGCGCGAGTCTTGCTCAGATCTCTGCTAGTCTCTACGATATCGTCGAAGAGATTCCTCCTCATCCCTGCGCTTTCGTTGATGTCTTTCCTCTCCAAACCCAACAGAATCTGGCTATTCGACGTGGATCGGAATCCGCTACTGCATGGAATACTAAAGAAAACGTTCTATAATCAATTCTGTGCTGGAGAGAATGGCGCAGAATGCAGATCCACCATCCGCGAAATGAAGGACATGGGCTTTCGCGGTATGATTTTGACATACGCTGCCGAGACTGTGTTTGATCATAGTACTCAAGCTCAGCAGGGAAAGGGCATTGCTGCTTTGAAAAACGAGCAAGGGGATGTGTCTGTTGATGCTGCGGTCTACCAATGTCCCAGCATCGAAGCTTGGCGGGAAGGGACAGTTGAGACCATCTACATGACGGAGGCAGAAGATTACCTCGCAGTCAAGTAAGTTGCTCGGAACCCACCCATTCATGGAATAACAACTGACCATTCATAAGGTTGACAGGAGCTGGCGTCAGCGTCACTGAGGCTTTCGCCGCTGGAGAGTTGCCTCCACAGCAAATGATGGATGCCTTGCATGAGATCTGCACCAAGGCCAAAGACAGAAAGGTTCGCATCCTCGTCGACGCCGAGTCTCAGCATTTCCAAAAGGGCATTGCACGGGTTGCCGTGGAACTTATGCGTACATACAATCGGGATGGTTATGCCACCATCTACAATACATACCAGGCCTACCTCAAGAGCACACCAGCGACACTAGCCAACCATCTCGCTGTGGCTCAGGAAGATGGATTCACTCTCGGTCTCAAGCTAGTGAGAGGCGCATACATGTCTACGGATGAACGGTCCCTGATCCACGACACGAAGGAAGACACCGACAACGCATATAATACGATTGCCCAGGGGGCACTGAGAAAGAATATCGGGGAATTCGGAGATAGGGGTACCGGCGAATTCCCCTCAGTGAATCTATTTTTGGCAAGTCATAACAAGAAAAGTGTGGTTGATGCCCACGAGCTCCATAAGCATCGTGTTATGTCCGGCTTGCCCACCGTGCCTGTGCGCTTTGCCCAGCTCCATGGTATGTCTGATGAGGTTAGCTTTTCCCTGCTTCAGATGAATGATGGCGATGGAACACCGGAAGTTTATAAATGTTCCACTTGGGGGGGTATGGGTGAATGTCTGGCCTATCTTCTTCGTCGGGCAATTGAGAATCGCGATGCGGTTCTGCGCACAGATAATGAGTATCGGGCGTTGAAGACGGAGGTTTTCCGCAGAGTGAAGTCGGTGTTTTCTCCATCTTTATAGCGTACCCAATGAAATATGACTTTATGATCCATGTGTTGCACTGAATTCTACCTTCAATTTCTTTCATATACTAGGCCCACGGGTTATATTAGACCTGTATAGTGTAGAGGGATTAAGTTGTCTGAGACCACTTGGCTGGCGGCGGAAGCCGCAAGGGGCTGACTGGTCTTCACTTTCACTGAAGAAGCTACGAGCTAACGAGTCACTTTCATTTTCGGCGATTACAACACATTTCAGAAGGATTGATCATGCATTATTTGATTATGCACATCTTCCGGAGTAATGGCAACGTTTGATGTATCTCAGTTTAGGTAAAGATCTGCATCTTGTCGGTGATTCCGATGATGTCGAGGGCAGTATTATTATCATAAGCATTGAAGTTTAATTTGAAATCGGGCCGGCTGCCTGGAATAGAGGAAGCAGTGAGAATTTAGGAAACTTGGTCCGGTGATCATTAATTTTCTTTATCATTGCAGGTAACACATCGCCCTGGAGCTCACCGCAATGATGACGTGTTGATGCTAGGGAGGCCAAGAATTGTATGTTTCACGGAGACATCAATGGCATTCGAACTGAACCAGTGCGCAACTTGCGTCATATAGACCATCAAAAATGTCCAGTGGTGGGGACAGTGATGTATGAGATGAGAGATATTCCACCAGTTGGAAAGGGGCTATGTCACATATGCCGGACACCGCTATACTTCCAAGGTCGTCGCCTCAAGTTCAAGGTCCGCACGATACCCCACGTAAGAGTTAAGGGGGAAAAGTGGATATGAGGCATTAACGGAGGATGGCCATATCGTCAAATCAACATGGATGGTGGCTTATATAGCCAATGAATTAGAAAGTAATCATGGAGTTTTGCCGAGTACCCGATTTCGGGAGTAGGTACCATACATATTCCAAGATTGCGCATGAGCTACGCCTAGCGCCGCAGCGTACCAGACTTTAAGAAAGTCTAAGCTCCACTCAGCATCGAATCCGGGGAGCCGGTTGGCCCGCTCGGTGGACCTACGAAGCTTGGTAAGCTTGTCCTAGTCTACAGTAGCAGGTGGATAGCCCCAACCTTAGGTACTCTCCTTCAGTCTGGGGCCCCTCACTTTGGGATTTAGTACGAATTTAGTACGTGGGGGGATTACCCGGGGACATCGGGGTATTATGGGGGATTTTTAATAATGTCTCTCTCCTTGAAATCGTGCGAGAGCTGAAGTTTTTAAACTGCGATAAAAGACTTCTCAACACCCGCAGTACAAGCTTATAGACGGAACGCTATGGCCCCTACTAAGCTCAGAGGCAAGTCCTTGAGCCTCGTCATTGGTATCGTTGGCGCTGTCGGGTTCATATTACAGGGTTACGATCAGGCAGTTGCGAATGGACTCTTGACATTGGGCTCTTTCATCGCTGTCTTCCCTCAAATCGATACCGTGAATACCAGCGGCAGTGAGAAATCTCACAACTCTACAATTCAAGGTATCTACTTGAATGAATCGGTTGTTAGAAGTTAACGAGAGCAATGTTGACCACTACAAGGCACAACGGTCGCTATCTATGAAGTTGGATGCGCAATAGGTGCAGGCTCCTGCGCCTTTCTAGGTGACAGACTTGGTCGTCGCAAGACCATTTTCCTTGCCGGTTGTGTAGCCTTAATTGGCATTGCCATTCAAGCAAGTCCCTTCTCGCTCGGTCAACTTATCGCTGGCAGAGTCATTACTGGTAAAGTCCCAACCTATCATGCCACAAGTTGCAAGAAGCTAACCAGTACTTTGTAACCGAACAGGTCTCGGTGTCGGTGGCTTCACCGCCACAATCCCAATGTACGTCTCCGAGTCATCTGGAGCAGAAGCCCGTGGACGAATGGTGCTGTTGGAGGGATGGTTTGCAATCGGCGGCGTTGCTCTTGCAACATGGTTGGAATTCGGACTCTACTATGTCAGCGACAACTCTGTCAGCTGGCGGTTCCCCATTGCATTCCAGGGCCTCTTTGCTTTCGTTGTTGTAGGGTGTATTATGCTCCTGCCCGAGTCTCCCCGCTGGCTTGCACGTGTCGGACGTCTCGAGGAGGCAGGTGAAGTGCTAGCCCGCATGGAAGATGTGTCAGTCGACTCCGAGCATGTCCTACAGGAGCTGGAAATTATCCGACAGTCGCTTTTCATTGACGACAATACCGAATCGGCAGGCTCCTCTTCGCCATTTGCTCTCACGAAGAACCGCCACCTACACCGTACAGTTATTGCGGTTGGTGTGAACATTATTGCGCAGATGACCGGTGTCAACATCATCACTTTCTATTCTGATACTATCTTCGAGTCGGACCTGGGTTATTCAGGTACACTCTCACGAATCATCACCGGATGTCTGCAAATCTGGCAATTTATGGCTGCAGGCGTGGCCGTTCTACTCATTGATCGTGTCGGACGTCGTCCATTGCTCATTGCTGCCGCTGCCGGTATGACCGTTGCCCAGGCCTGCCTGGCCGGGCTATCAAGCGACCTTGGAAGTAAGTCTGCAGCTGGCGCTTCACTATTGTTCTACTTCGTGGCGCTTTTCTGCTTCCCTATTGGACTGTTCCTTGTCCCATTCATGTACGCCGCAGAGATCGCACCGCTGCGCACTCGTGCTAAGGTCACTGCTATGTCAGCTGCGGCAAACTGGCTCTTCAACTTCGTGCTGGCAGAGGTGAGCCCGGTCGGGTTCGCTACTATCCACTGGCGGTACTACATTGTCTATGCATGCATTAGCGCCTTTGCTTGCACGTGTTTCTACTTCTTCTGTCCTGAGACTAAGGGCCGTACACTGGAGGAGATCGATGATATCTTTGTTCAGTCGAAGTCTGTCTTTGATACTGTTCGAATCGCACAGGAGATGCCTTACCAGACGGAGATTCTGGCGCACGTTGATGATACCGAGAAGGGCATGGAGGCGACCCAGGTGGAGAATGCTTGAAAACGATATGAAGAAGATTGTGATGATGTGATGTTTATCAGTGTTTAGATGGAAGCTTGTGATAACTAGATTATAGATTACACCTCTAGGTTAGTTCCATTGAGTCCATTTATCCCAGTCATTTTTACACAGTATGAATATACAGTTAGATAATAAATTGATTTGCTCAACCCGATACTTTGCCATGAAAAGCAGAGCGCAACTCTATATTCGTCAAGCACCCAATTCCAAACGCAGGAATAATACGGACACATCGCAAAAAGGTCGACGAGGGAAGATATTGCTGCGAATGCTTCAATCTTTCCAAGAAGGGCACAGTATATTGCCGTGTATACATATCCAACGCCAACAAATGTAGTGGAGTAGCAACCAGCTGAGTCAGGACGGGCACGGTCAACTGGGTGATGACCGGCTTTGCGTGGGGATGAGTCGCCAAGCGGTCGGGGATTGCATCCGACAACCACGGGGCCAACGTAAATGATCCAAAGATAGTGACACCGTCTCTTACAAGGAAGATAGCAGCTGCAGTTCGTGCCAATGACTTGTTTTGGAGGGGGACAGAGATTGGAGTGTTCGATATCTTGGCATCGGGACCCCTGCCGGTGCCGTATTCCTGCGCAAATCGGATGTCCTTCCACAGCGCTAGCGGCACGTTAGCCATCATAGTCGTGGCAAATGTGATCGTCCCCGCGGCGGTTATCTCAAGCTTGCGACCGATTGTGTCGGTCACATTTGCGACAGAATATGTTGCCGCGTAAAGGGCCCAGACAATACCAAAGGGTCGTTGGAAGACAAACAGACCTGGTTGCCGGAGGGCCCCGAGCGCATGCCGACGAAGTCCGCGGAGAATGGGTTGTTTGAAGGCAGCTTGCTCGACAAGCGATCTAAAAACCTGTTAGCGCGGAATAATCGCGTTTGGAAGTGTTAAGACGAACCTGTCGATAATTGCTACCGCGGGTGTTACTAGGGATGCCGAGGCTGCTGCTGCGGCGAGATCGCCGGCCAGCTGTCCTAGTTCAGGACTGCCCCAGCGGACTTCATTTGATTGAGCTTCTTGTTGCATAGTGATAATTTGAAGTACATAGTTCCACGTCTCATGCTTATCTATTTCGAAAATATGGATAGGAGTACACTACCTAATCCAGCCTGATACGAGCACCGGGAGGCCTCCCGATGCTGCAGATACTCGAACAGCAGCTATGAATCTAGCTTAATCTTGCCCGGCAGAGCTCAAGCTCGCTGCAACCATCATGTGGGGTAAACGGGGAAGCCTCCGATATTTTTAGGAGGGGTCGTTTATCGTTGACGTTTAAATCAGTCTGTTCGTCGTCACTGATTTGTCAAGTTCACATTTGCCATTAACTTGACTCAGACTTGCTATTCATAATGTCTACTACACTCATGAGACTTCGCTCGGCACGGCCTACTGGTTCTCGCCTGCGCGCCGTTCCTGCAGGACTTTCTATCCAAACTCGTGCTAAGACTACCTTGCCATTCCGCCTCCCTGATGCTCGAAACGAACCAAACGTGAGTCTGACGGAACTATTTAGCCTAACTTCATGCTAATTATATTACAGCCTCTATACAAGAAAGGCTCCCCGGAGCGTGCTAAGCTTGAAGAAGCATTGACCAAGCTCCGCTCCCAGCTGCCTGTGCGGAGCGAGCTCTTCTTTGATGGAAAATTCCAGGCGAGCTCCAAGTCCTGGGATCAACCATTGCCCGCCGAACATGCCACTACCTTCACAAACTACCCACTTGCCACCGATGAGCAGACCCGATCAGCGATTGAACTAGCCCTGGAGGCAAAGCAAAGCTGGCAAGATACCCCATTCGTTGATCGAGCTTCGATCTTCCTCAAGGCTGCCGAGCTGCTGTGCACCAAGTACCGATACGAGATTATTGCGGCTACAATGCTCGGACAAGGAAAGAACATCTGGCAGGGAGAGATTGATGCCGCGGCTGAGTTGGCAGATTTCTTCCGTCTCAACTGCAACTGGGCAGCTGAAATCTTGGAGAAGCAGCCCACTCGTGGCAGTGATGGCATGTGGAGGTTAGTTTATGTTGAAGTCTTGAGCTACTGTTATGGGATCGTTTGCTAACTACTCGCAGTCGCATCGACTACCGTCCTCTGGAGGGCTTCGTTTACGCCGTCTCCCCATTCAACTTCACAGCCATTGGCGGCAACCTGATTTGCGGACCTGCCCTGATGGGTAACGTGGTACTGTGGAAGCCTTCGGCATCTAACGTGTACGCCAGCTCTATTCTCTACAAGATTCTTTTGGAAGCTGGTCTGCCTCCCAACGTGATCCAATTTGTGACCGGTGATCCCGAAGCTATTACCGAGACTGTGCTTTCACACCGCGACTTTGCCGGCTTGAACTTTATCGGTTCTTCCGATGTCTTCCGCTCTCTGTATGGCAAGATCGGTCAGGGTGTTGCCGCAAAGACATACCGCGAATTCCCTCGCTTCGTTGCCGAGACCAGCGGAAAGAACTTCCACCTCGTTCATCCCTCTGCCGATATCACCAGCGCAGTCAACCACACCATTCGCGGCTCATTCGAGTACCAGGGTCAGAAGTGTTCCGCCACATCTCGTCTCTACTTGCCCGAGTCTCGTGCAGAGGAGTTCCTTACTAAACTGAAGGCTGGAATCAAGGAAATTACCATTGGAAGCCCGGATAAGGACTTGGAGGCTTTCATGGGCCCTGTTATCCACCGTGGATCATTCGAGAAGATCAAGTCCATCATCGATGCCAGCAACAAGGACCCCTCGCTTAAGCTGATTGCCGGTGGTACTTATGATGAATCTGTTGGATACTATGTGCACCCTACTGTGTACCAAGCCGAATCACCAGACCACCGTCTCTTTAACGAGGAGATCTTCGGCCCCGTGCTTGCCGTGCACATCTACAAGGATGCCGAATGGGCTTCTACTTTGAAGTCTGTTGATCAAAATGGAGGTGGATTTGCCTTGACTGGTGCTGTCTTTGCCAAGGACCGTGTTGCTATCCGCCAGGCTGAAGATGCGCTCCGCTACTCTGCCGGAAACTTCTATATCAGTAAGTCTCACACTGTCTACATCAATTGTTCCTATATCTAACCGTTTACCTTTACAGATTGCAAGACAACCGCCGCCCTTATCGGCCAGCAGTCTTTCGGTGGTGCTCGTGCTAGCGGAACTAACGACAAGGCTGGTAGCTCTGACCCTCTTCGTCGTTTCGTTAGCCCCCGGTTGATTAAGGAGGAATTCTTTGGTCAGGAAAATGGGTTCACTTACCCCAGCAACCACTAATGTTGGGATATAAAATGCATAGTTTATAGATTCTTTTCGCTAAGGTATGTACTTTCGCAATTCAAGCATACTGTTATTTATTTCTATTAAACCCACTTCCAAGATAATAAGACATAAGAGTAGTCCACTGCGTAAGCCTCTATACTTGACGATAATACGATTCATCTAGCCCAAGGTGGTATTGGACGCTATACTCCGATGTCTTTTTAGATGTTGTTTTAGATGGCTTTTAGAATGTTCTTTTAATAGTGTTACAATTATGAGATAATAGATAATGACACGGAGTAGGGTTTCTCGCTCTACGACAATATATTGAGGGCTTTTCTACGTATAACCAGGAATGTCCACTACTTCCGTCTAATTATTTGTGTTATTCTATGTATCACCGAACTCATCCATATAGCGAACGTGACTTACATTGATTAGACTGTTGTCCAACTAGAATTCTATGTCTTTTGTGGATATTTTGGTTGTACTAATAAAATTAAATGCAACTATTCTCAAGGACTCGATCTTTCAACTACCCCTCACCATATCATATGATATTTCAGTTCATCTTGTCCAGTTATGGCCTCTTACGTGGCTCCATTCTCTTATCAAGAATATCCCAGATAATTTAAAATATCAAAAAGCCCATTTGGGCACATCGGGAACCCTCCCGATAGACCACTTCTCCGCAGCCCCCGCATTAGGCCCTGATGTCGGAATTGACGCCGTTAAACCATGGATAGTGAGCTGTGTAACTATAGATATAGAATAATTAGACCATCTGGTAGAAGTTTTCCACCGCATTTCACAATGACTATCTCAAAGTCCGACCCAATCATCATTGTTGGCGGCGGAGCCTTTGGGCTCTCCAGCGCTCTTCATTTGACTCGCTCGGGCTTCACGAATATTTCCGTCTTTGAGAGAGATGAACATATCCCTCCACGCTATTCAGCCGCTAATGATCTGAATAAGATTGTACGCGCGGAATACGAGGATCCATTCTACACCGATTTGACAATTGTAAGTCAACCATCTTCGATGAAAGTATAGTGATCGAGTGGATCACTGACTGATATCTTGTTTTATTTGATTAGAAAGCCATTGCCGCATGGAAAACACCTCTTTTCGCACCTTATTTCCACCAGACTGGATTCCTCCACTGCGTGTCTGGCGAAGCACCCAAGAAAGCCATCGACACCCTCAATAGATTCCGGGCTTCGGCAAATGCAAGCGATCAAATCAAACCACATGTCGTGCCCATCGATGGCGAAGACGATATTCGTCAAGCCTGCTGGCAGCTCGATGGCCCGTTAACCGGATGGAATGGATACCTGAACCGCTTCGACGGGTATGCACACTCCGGCAACGCACTGGCGGGAGTATACCGCGCCGCGCAGGCAGCCGGCGTACGCTTCTACCTTGGCGAACACGGTGCAGTCGATGAAATCGTCTATGTCAGCACACTGCGCGGCAAGAAGAGCTCCGGAATCCGAACAAAGGATGGGAAGTTCCATCCATCTTCGCTGGTGATCGTCGCAGCGGGCGGTGCAGTCGGCCGTCTTGTCCCGGAGGTCGGGAAGAAGGTCGTGGCTAAGTCGTGGTCTGTTGCGCATGTTCATCTGACCGATGAGGAGACTTCTGCGCTGCGTGGTATTCCTGTTACCTACGCTCGTGATCTAGGATTCCTCTTTGAGCCTGATCCTCAGACTAACCTGCTGAAGATTTGTCCTATGGGAGGTGGATATATTAATACGGATCCTCAGACTGGGGTTTCTCATGCGCCTGGGACTTTGGAGGAAAGTGCGTTTGTGCCGGAGCATGATGAGAGGCAGATGAGGAAGTTGCTGGCGCAGACTCTTCCGGCGCTGGCGAATCGTCCGCTGGTTAAGAAGTCGCTTTGTTGGTTTGCGGATACTGATGATTCGGACTTTATTATTGATTTTGTTCCCGAGACGTCGTCGTCGGTTGTTTTGTTGTCTGGTGATTCGGGGCATGGGTTTAAGATGTTCCCTATCTTTGGATCGTGGGTCTCCGATTTCTTGCAGGCTGGGCAGCAGCGTGAAGGGCGGTGGAAATGGAAGCATACCGATCCCAATGAGGGTAAGGGGAATTGGGGTGGTGATGTGAGCTGGCGTCTTGGTGAGTCGAAGGAGCTCTCTGAGATTCGTCCTCCGGTTTTGTCTAAGCTTTAAATTATTTGAATACTAGCAGAGTACATGTGTTTAAAATTTTCTTTTGGGAATTTTCAGCTTCAAAACAAACGTATCATTAACCGTACAAGCTCTAGACCAGCTAGATTTGATTTAATGGATACACTGCACTGAGGACATCGGTGGAAACAAATTTGCCATCGTCGCTTCATCACACATTCAATCTACCATATACTATGTTCAATTATCGCATTAGACACCCACTCAGTATCATAACTCTCAATCGAGTCCGCAACAGCCATAATCTCAGCCGAAGTCAGCATCGTGCTGAAATCACACTCCACATCAAAATCAGGATCTGGCCTTAGAAGCGCATCGTTATATCGAACAGATTGAGGTATAGCACCAGGAATCGGTGTTGCAGAAGGGGAAGCTGGGCCCGGAAGAACATTGGGTTGTTGGAAGAATTCAGGGACTGCTAAGTGTCGAGGCTGATCACCAGAGAGACATCCTGTTAATGTCTCACGTAGCTGCTGGAGCTCTGATCGCCGGAATTTAGCAACTTGGTTTCCGTCTCTGATCATTTCGTCGAAGATGGCATAGGCTTTCTCTAGCCAGTTAGGGTGGCTTTCTAGTACTCGCGGGTCGATTGCCGGCCCCATCAGGAGGATGATTGTGGATACGAAGACTGATTCTAGATCGAAGGGGAGGAAGGTTTCTGGAATTTGGTTGTTAGTTGAGAGGGCATATCAGTAGCCGAAGGGTTGTCTTACCTAGCAGACCTTGGCTCTGTAAACTGGAGAGAATACTGATGATGTGCTGGGCAGATTCAAGACACATCTGCATCAAGTTTCGGACGTTTCGGGATGCATTGAGGGATTCCAGGCAGTTTTCTGGGGACTCAAAGCGGATTTTAAGAAAGCAGAATAGGAGAGGTCGGGTGGCTAGGATGATACACTGAATATCGGGTGTTTGGTCAGTGGATGCGTCTCTTCCCGCAAAGAGTAAGGCACGTACCTGGTGATATTGAAGATGTAAATATGCTGATATTCGAGAAACGCCGCTGCCTGGATCCAAGTGTAGCGGGAATGACTTGCGAAGCTCATCGGCAAGCCCTGCGATGTTCGCCAAAGCTGATTTGGTGCTCAGCAGAAAAGTCCGGTTGATGCGTCCATTGACAACATATATTGCTGTTTATTTTGTTAGGGGTGATGATTCACGATGGAGGCTCGGGAAACCTTACTACTGTTCACCTCGGCAATGATCTGGGACAACTTGATGTGCATGCCTAATGACATTGTCTCCGATGGGTCTGCAAAGGTAGGAAGCTGGGTTTGCACATGTCGGTCATTGATCGACTGAGGCAGACCCATCAACGATGTCATTTCTCGGTCCAGAATATAAATGGTCCACCAAATTTTGCCGCATCTTTGGACCATGCCGTGTCCTAAATCTTCAACTGGCATACTAGTGTGCATTCCTTGTGCCATAGCTATCCGCATGGCTTGGCCAATCTAGGGCATTTGTTAGTCGGGTATTTCAAATGAGCCATTTCTTTAGAAATCTTACGTAGTTATGTGCCGATGTTCGATAGTCAACACACTGGTAGTATAAGGCGATGCAACATAGGATTTCCGTTCCCAGCGTAGGATCCCGGTAAAGAGCAGTCGGGTCAGGCAGAAGTTGCAAAGCTTTGACGAAATAGCACACCCCCGGTGGCTTTTTACCTTGAGCCTTGGGCTGAACGAATCCTTTCCCAAAAGCCAATATCAGGAGGAAATGGATGTACCACAAGCTGTTTGTCATGGAATGCCCATCTCCTGAGTAAAACTGCTGCAAAGAGCTCATAAACTCATCTTCTTCAAAAAGATGATACAATTGCCCGCACCGGAATTGCACGGCGTTGATCAGGTACATGGTATGGTCACGAGTCGGGACGACCGGGACATCTGGGCCCGGGGTTGTTCGTAACCCGTCCCATCCCAGTTCATAGGTCGTTTCATCAAATATCAAAGTTTCTGTGGGTAGTGCATCCTGATAGAGGTGCTGATGTGCCAAGCTGAGAACTCGTCGAGTGAACGACCAGTTGGATGATGTTCCAAGATAGACTGTAGTAGATGTTAGAGTTGCGCATTCCAAGAAAGCAGGATAGCCTACATGTGCGGCCATTTGGTGCAGACATAAAAGCAGGAGGACCGGATGATAACGGGTTGGCTAGCCCGGGGTCCAAATCCTCCAGGTTCTGGTCCTCATCATGCTCCTCTGGAGTACTAGTCCTCTCCAAAGGAGGTACGTCTTCGCGATCTTTAGAATATGCGATAGGTTAGCAGGTAATTATCAAAGCAGAAAGCAAGACACACCAATTTGAGTATCGAAATTCGAGCTGAAAGGGCTCACTTGGCCCTTCTCGCTCTGCTCTATACGCGCGATCTTCTGCTGCAGCTCCAGAATGTAGCTGCAAGAAATGTGAGCTATCGACTCTTCTCAAGACACTGAATTGACAAACCCTCTTGTTACCAGGATCTTCTGATCACGATCGTTGAATATGCAGCTAAGCTTTCGCTTGCTGCACCCGTCGCATGGCTGCGACCCGGAACATTTGATCTTTTGTCTCCGGCATCGCACACAACTATATTGTCAGTGTCTATTTCCACTAATCTAAGATCTTACTCACGCATTTGACGACCGTTTTGTGACTCTTCCATTGCCCGCCATCTGTGTTGAGATATGTTAGAAATCTGCCAGGCCGAAATGCGGGGCCCATGAGGGCCGTGAGGGGGATCTCTTATTATCAGAAGAGAAAGACGAATCAGATAGTTGGATGAAGATGTGGATACACAATCTTATCTGTCCAAGAGGATAGAGGAGAGGAGAGATAGATAGATGTGTCGTCGGGTTCCCTCCCGATGATTCACATAATTCAACCTCTGTTGGGTCATTTGACATTTCCCTTTTGTCTTTCTATACATTTTAACATTTATACATGTATACTTCATTTTTATTTTTTATTTTCTATGTACATTATGTAGCTTTCAACGCTGCCCAAGCAAATCTCGATTCCTCTCCCAAAATTGCCTGCATGCTGTGTGGCCCCAATGTTCAGTCCACCACTCCCCGAAGCTATCTTGAACACTTGATTCGTCCACTCGTAACACCCGCTCGTCTCTCTTAAGCGAACAAAGTGCACAAGGATGGGAGGCTTTCAGTGCGCCCTGGTCCGCCCGCGCCGTAATAACCTTGAGTCCACTAGGATCTGGGACTGTAGGGATCGGCCGCTGGCCTGCCGCTTGTAGAACAGCATTGAAAATCGCCGCCCGTTCACGCCAAGTGGTAAGTACATCAACAGCGTCTTGTTCTTCTTTGATGTTCTCTTGCTTGTTCACGCTGTTAAGTTTCATACCACCGGCTTTGCCGGAACGGGCAGGGCCGATTCGCATGCTCTGACTAAGGATTGTATCACGTTTCCACCGGAGACTTCGTCCTGCAATTACACGGGCGGCCGATTGAAGTACATTGTGAATATTCAAGGCTGTTGTAGAAATGGTGTTTGAGGATGATGACGGTGGAGCCGAGGATCGCAGCTGGGATTTTGCGAGTATAGCCTCTTTCTGGAGATAATCAAATACGTCTAAGAATAACTCGAGAAGGACTGAAGGTGGCGGGATGTTTGTTGGACGGACGGTGGCTGCGGGGGCTGTGGTCTCAGAAACGGAGCTACTAGGAGCTGGGCTAGGGACTGTCGGTGGTGAAATGGGGTTGGATTTGGGCACAGCCTTCACACTAGGCCCATCTGAAAAGTCACCCCAGTCTTCGAAGGCATCGTCATCCCAGGTTGATGCAGGCGGCTTATTGGGTTTAACAGGCAGTTTTGTAGGTGCTTTTGTTCTCTTTTTGGGAACTTTGGGGGGAGGTTGGCTAGCGGGTGCATCGGCAAAATCGCCCCAGTCACCAAATGAATCATCCTCCCATGTTGCCTGGTGTTGGTTATTACCAGGTCCAAAGTTTTGGTTCTTTTGGGCAATTTCCGACGGGTGTTTCACAACTGGTGCCGAGTCTTGCATTGAAAGTGAATCTAGCAAGTCAATTGTTTTAGAAACTTGTGGAGCATCCTGCCGAGGCTTTTGTTTTGACAATGTGGCTGTCATTGATTGCTGAAGAGCTGTTGATTGTGCATGTTGAGTGTTTGAATCAGGGCCCTCGAAATCACCCCAGTCGTCGTCTGCATCACTTGCTGGTGTGTCAAATGCTGAATCAAATAAGACATCGCTATGTGGATTCAGGGGAAGGTCAAATTCCTGACCAGGGCCCTGCCACGGAGCTATTGGAGCTGCAAATTGACCGACTGCTTCCGAGGTCGGATTGGGACGTTCGTTGTGCTGCACACTTCTCGATGACCCGAAGAAATCGATATTCTTATCTTCATCGAAGAATGAGTTTTTCTGGTATTGCGATGACTGTTGTCTGGAATTATTGTCTGGAGCAGGCGCCTGACCAAACTCTGCTAGCAGATCTGCGGACATTTTGAATGTCCACCGTTGTCATGAAGCTGTGAGAGGTGACATAAAGTGCAGCGGTACAGCGATGTCGGGAGTGTCTGCAGGGGGCGGCAACACAAGATCGAATATGTCGATGCCAGCCGCAATCTGTATCGTTTGAGATGTGCAAACTTCGTAATCCGAACTCAACCGGAGTATACAGCGGTGGAATGTCGCAATGGCCGAGTAGCGCGAGATAAGGCACGGGCGGTCTACTATCGCCCGCATCCCCTCGTCTTCTAAGGTTCTCCCCGTCATCCCCAGCAATGAGAACCATTGAGGAGACTAGGTACTTCCCCTAAATTGTCCACAATTTATTACTTGTACTGACCCTCGCAGAAAGAGATGGGGCATCCTATTCTCCGACAACGATACATCTTCTGACCTTCGAGCGGCTTTGCAATCCGAGCAAGGAGGAAACCTGTGCAATGACGGACTGAGGTCGGTCTGCTGGAAGGTTCTGTGGACTTGATAACGTGATACGGGGATATAGGCTGACTCTTCTTGCAGGCATTTCTAGTTTTCGACGGGTTAGATAAAACCGAATGGGCGCCTAAGCTCGACGAATCCCGGGATGCCTATCGCGCGTTGCGAGATCATTTCTTGAAATATATCGAACACCCGGACGATTTAGAATCGACTGTTGATCCGCTGGCGGATGATGAGCAGGTACTTAAATGGATATCTGCTGTGCTTCCGTGAACTTGAAGAATGCTCCTGTCTAACTAATTCTTGCTGGAATCAGTCCCCTTGGCAAACACTCCGACACGATGAGACGCTCCGTACCGAGATCCTCCAAGATGTCGATCGATGCCTGCAGGAGAACTACTTTTTCCAAGAGCCCGACACGAAATCCAAGTTGACTGATATCCTGTTCGTCTACTCGAAACTTAATCCTGATGTCGGCTATAGACAAGGAATGCACGAATTACTCGCGCCTATTCTCTGGGCAGTAGATCGAGACTCAGTGAAGCCACACCCCGGAGGACTTGATGCGAACAAGGACAAAAGTGAGGGGTTGATGCTAAATCTTCTTGATGCACAATTCGTGGAACATGATTCATTTACACTGTTTCTCTCTGTCATGCAGACGGCCCGCATATACTATGAACACGGCGAGACACGGTCGGCAAATGGCCAGATTGATGTCATTCCGATAGTTGATCGGTGTCATTATCTTCATAAGGAAGCTTTGGCGGTTATCGATCATGAGCTCGCTGAGCACCTGGAAGCTGTGGACGTATTACCGCAGATTTTCTTAACGTAAGTTGCGTTCGGACACCCATCCAATTTTTTTTTTGTACTAACTCACTGAAAAGTCGCTGGATGCGCCTTCTGTTTGGGCGAGAATTTCCATTTGACGATGTGCTGACCATGTGGGATCTACTCTTTGCCCATGGACTACGGTCTGATCTTGTTGATTTCACATGCATTGCAATGCTGCTTAGAATTCGTTGGCAATGTTGGTCGACCTGCTCGATTCCCCATCGTATCTTATTTTGTTGACATGCATCATTTAGTGCTCACGGCCGACTATACAACCGCCTTAACATTATTACTTCGCTACCCTTCGCCCCAACCACAAACGCCTCAAACTTTTGTACATGATGCACTATATTTGGAACAGAACCCTACCGCCGATCGAGGCAGTTTCATCATATCAAAATATTCCGGTAGACCGCCCGATTCGAAATTTCGCAACCCTCCTGGTACACGGCCCACGAGGAAGGCCTTCCTTTGGGAAGACTTTAAGAAACGCAGTCAAAGCAACTCCCCTACTGGATCACCAGCCCGAAGCAGCCCTAAAAGTCTCGAATCTCTTTTCCAAGACGTCTCCCAGGGGATTCAGCGCCGGACAGAGACATGGGGCGTAGCCAAGGCTGTTCGAGGCGCCGTGACAGAAGCCAGGAAAAATATGCAGACAATGCATTTTGAACCAAATATGCGTCCTGGCTCTTTGAGGCCTATTTCTACAGCATCAACCTCGGACATACAATCGACTACGGCGGCCTCGGCCAAACTGGAAACAAAGATCAATCTACTTGAGCAAAGGAACCAGGCTTTGGCGACGATTTTACGCGAGGCACTGAACGATCTTGGCTCGCAGCTGGCAAATATCAATGACCTCGATTCCGATACGAACAGCGCAGTGAAGCAGGCTCTGGTCAAAGCTGAGAGTGTCCAGGTCTGCCTCGGAGACTCTTCCATGCCAGTAGATCTCCCTCTTGACCCCCGTGTAGATGGCGAAATAAACGAATCGGACGAGTCACAAGAGACAGTGACCTCAACAGTGGGTAAAGAAGACGGCAACATTGTGGCGAACGAGAGTCAATCCCGAACAATAAATCCCGCCAAAGCGGATACGACCGGGCCGAAAGCCGCGAGTGGAACCAATTCTATCCTAGACACGGCAAATCGGACAAACAGTGACAGGAAGAAGGAGAGTGCACGGGCAATACCTTCGCGATCAACTGTGCGACCTTCTATGACGGATTCGGGATTCTCATGGATGCTTGGCGGTGGTCGGAATCTGTCGGGCTTTGTTAGCTCGACATCGCCGCCGCCGGAGCAGACTCGACATCTCGACCAAACCCGAGGGAAACCCAAACCCAATGCCTTGTTCGGATTGAGCGGAGATGACAATCCAGGGGCCGATTCTAAGCATAGTGAATTGGCGCTACACAGCCTTCGGGGCTCTCGGGACCCTCTGTTGGGGACCGGCCCACAATGATATCTGCCGATTTTGCCAATGTCACTGCTTGCGTATGCACTGGGGGATACATCCTCCGGGTCGAACCTAGTCCCACTTCTTATCTCCTATTAAGCTGCATTATTATAATTTCCCGTGTGGAAATTGGCTGCAAACACCCATTCCACAAAAGGAGGCATCTGTTTGACCTCTAATTGTTTTTAATACGGTTTTCTACCTCCATTTGCGACAACTTTATAGAAGTAAGTAGCCCACTGGAGTCCAATCTCACATGAGGCGCTCGGATCTATTTGAGAAAGCCACTTTACATCATCTCGAGATTTTGCGGAAATAACTTGGCTATGACTTCCTGCATTGACCGAGCGGGGTAATACTCTTCAAGTATCCAAGTGGTAGCATGGTGGTTCTATTTGAAGATATCTCATTTCTATCTGTATAGATCTGATTCTACCAGTCTTCAACGGTAGATTTCCGCCACATGGGATAGAAATATGTCGATCAGCCGATCTAAGTAAGGCAAATCATCTGTTCAAGGGAGAATGTTTATTTTATTTTCACTTTTTTCTCTTTCCAAGGAGAAATGGCTGTTAGATATAAAATATAGCCATATATAAAAGTTATAAATACAAAAAAGTTATTACATCACGGAAGGGGGGGACCCAGTTCCCTTTTTCTCGCATTTTCCTTCTCCCCACTCTCTTCCCCGCTGCTGTTTCTCTTTTTCTTCACCCCTTGTATCCTTTTACCTCGACCTCAGCTGCTTGTCCTTCACCTTTTGCATGCCCAGCCGCGACGCCACATATGCCGCCTGAGACCCTACGAGGCAGCTGCCCGCCCAACCCCCGTCCCAGTTGCGAATGACCGGCCCATACATGTCGCATACCCCAACTACATTCACGAGTGCTCACCTCGATTGAGCGATTGAGCCTCGTCCTTTTTTTTGTTTCCCATCTGATTATCTGAATTTGAAGTCGAGCATAACAACCAAAACCCAAAAAAGAGAGACAACAGAGAGAGAAGAGAGACCTCGGGGATGGGGTCGGCTTACAACCATGATGGTCAGTCATGCGCACATGCTTTTTTTTTTGTTGATATTCAGTCTTTGTTTCACATTTCATGGGCCTTGGGACTAGTGGAGGTGAGGGTTGCTGTTCAGATTGACCTTACGACTCATCGATCACCCGAAAAGAAACCTCGGAAGGGTTTGGAGCAACCAGGGCGCGAATTGATTTTCTCCCGAGTGATCACGGTCATCCGCTACAACATACTCGGAGATGCATCTGACCGCGGAGATCAACCGTCTGATCATTTGAAAGCGTCACATTTCCTTGAAAGGCCCGTGGAATGGAAACTTCGAGACGCGCCGATTGAGTTGATAATAAGCTAGGTGAATCATGCTGATCAAGCTTAGGCGAGCCGAGTCCTCTTTCGTCGCCGTTAGGATCCCTCTCTGAGTCGCCCGAATCCGAGTCCGGACTGCACAACCTTTATTTACAGACAGATCACCTTAGGAGCTCGGCGGGCAGTGTTTCTTCAGGATATGACCCTCTTTCCAGGTCAGCAACAATATTATTTCTACTTTCTAACACAACCTTAACCCTTTTTGTATTTCAACAGATCTCCGTTGTTCGAGAACGACCATGGAATTGGTCCATCTGGGCTGGATCGTATACGCCAAAACCAACCCTCGCGAGTACTGACTCTTCCAAACATGTCTACCTCGTCACTATCGCTAGCTCCCATGCCTAGCCAGCGGCCCGCTCCCTCTCCCCGCTCCCGCTCATCTTCTCGAGCTCACACCAGTCGTTTGTCGAGCCCAAGTTTTACAGATTTAGAGGATCTACATCGGTTTCCGCTCGAGTCGCTACACTCCTTTTCCTTCGCCCAACAGTCCGAGGAATTTCTCCACAGTCGTCAGAACATTCTCAAGAGATCTATTGATTTCATGCGCGACCGGATGGGATGGGCCGCAAGCAATGCCGCGATCGCCAACGCACAAGCAAACGCCAGTGGGGACACGGAGATGCAAAGTATAATGGAGCTTTTGGCCCGAGCAAATATGCTCGAAACCCAGGAAAACCATATCCACGGCCGTGGACCCATCACAGGACCCGCAGATATTAATAGCGACAATGTCTTTGAGAAGGCCTTCTTAGATGGCGATTCCTCCCCGGTCAGCACCCGAGACGGCGCCCAGGATTCCACCGCATCGGGGTCAAATCCCTCTGAAAGCTTCCAATTGTTGAGCCCAGTGCCCAGCGATCGTATCTCCAAC